TTATCTCTTTTTGACATATAATCAAGATATCTATGAATACACTTTAAAATTCTGTTATTTTTATTCCTAGCATTATTAAACACCTTTGAAGACATACCTGATGCATCCAAAACAATAAACAAAGATCTTCCTTAGGATGAAAAAGGACTTCGCGTATAAATAAGACTTAGACTGCCAAAACCAAAGGTAACTCAAAAATAACGGACACAAGATCAAACTAAATTTAGAAAAAAATTGTTAAATTAGACATGAAGAAGATATTGAAAAAAGTAATATTTGATAATGGCCTAAATACTTAGTTGTCTTCTTCAAAAACAAAAGCATTTGGCTAAGTTAACCCATATCAGGTACTTTCTAGCCAATCTTAATGTTGGATCTGCCATAGAACATTATTCATAATTGGTATACTGCCTTATGAACTAGCTTTGATACAAATGAGAAATGGCCTGAATGCAATCACTATTCCAGCCTATTTGCATGCACAACTATTAATGTATATATCACAACAGTTGCACAACCTTAAATGTTCAACAATCAGATTGTAAAGGCCTCAAGTACAAATATGACAAAGAATCTTAAGATTGTTTTCAACTTCCTTATTTGTATAAATAATCTTCTAAAATCCATATGATTCTTCATAGTTAAAGGACTTCCTTCAGCTCTTCCCCAAGCACATTTTTAAACTTCCTTACATTGAATCCATCACAATTAAACACATCTTCCTTGCACTTTAACTTTTCTAATGTACCTATATCTTACTTTCCGATCTAGACATCCCCCTTAGAAATCCTAACACGTGGAACAGCTCCTGAAAGTGATACTTAATGATTTCCATCCTTCAAACTTTGAAGTTAAAATTTCTTTGAGAAATTATTTCAGAGATACTCATATGTCAACAGCACAATTAGTTAACACCTCAGCACTAATGCTGAGAAGTTTTTGCACAAGCACCAGGCTGTTGAAAAAGCTCTCATTCCTGCACATGACACGTAGTTACCTTGTCTATGTTGCTAAGCAGCATCAGACAATAAGAGAGTGACACAGCCTTTTTGCACAGTACTTTCTTTGAGCACTTTGTCCAGACCAAAAGCTCATTCTTGACAAGACAAGCAGACACCCCAGAAGTGGAGAAATAGGGTAAGTGTTTTTGGGGAGAGGTGAGTATTTATCTGAAATACCTTTTCAGTTTGGGAAAAATGTTAACTTAACCCATTAACTGCGTCAGGAGCAGCTCAGTTGCGATTTTCTGACTCGCAGATAAAACTGAGTTGCCATCAATCACAATAAACCGGTAATTATCATTATTCGCATAGAGTTATAGTTATATATGTGCGAATGACAGAAAATCCGTCATTCTCAGCTGAGCCATTGAACTTCAGTGACGCAAATATCCGTCATCCACAGTTAATGGGTTAATACTAAAATACTAATTTTTACACAAAATAATTGTACAGGATCACACAATGAAAAGATGGTGGAAGGGGCCAGTGTGAAGAAAGAAATTTAAAAAATGAGCTCCATTCTGAGAATGTAGCAACAGAAAGGGAAAACTCATGAAGTATCTCCCCTAGAGGGGGGACTTAGTGGAAGCAACAATCAATGAGTGATTGCATCCACCACCTCTGGCAGGGAATACCCCTTGCTGACTATTAATGGCTATTCTGAAAGGTTCTTTCAAAAGAACTTCCTGCTTCTTGCTAAAGTATCACAAAGATGAGCAGAATATAGATGTTCCTCAACTACCTATATATCCTAGGAAGTCAGGAAACCATAGAAATTAAGTGTATATAGGGCAGCATTTCCTGCCATAGAGTATGTGACCAATAATTACAAACATATGCGAATTCTGGTATGAATCATCTCAGACCTGCATCCCAAAGAGAATGCAAGATCGAACTGGCTGGTCACAACCACCAAAAATTGTCCAGTTCTTAATATTGTGGTGGTCTGTATTATTCTTCCTCATTGATTCCTTTGTCTTACTTCCAATTGAGGGACATTCCATTGAGTGAAAATGGACATCTAAGGATTACATAGGAGAGATCTCCAAGAAGGAAGAGGTAGAGGCTCCTGCCCAAACATGGAGCAATTAAAAGAACCCAGCAAGGTGTGCTACAAATCAGGTACAATATCCCAGGAAAGAATCAGAGAGGACGATGTGCAAAAAGAAAGATATTGGACCAATCCTTACTCAGAGCATCCACTGCTAGGCAACAAAATCTGGGACTGGTGATCAAAAATTGATGTTAAGGGAAGTCACAAAAGTATCGATAAGAGGACTACCAAAATGGGAATAAATCCACAGAAACACCAGATGATGCAAGGAACACTGTTGGAACTATCCAGTCTGAGTGATATAGTCAATCCAATATTAAAGTTCAACCTTTAATTATAGTCATTGTGATGTAATGTATTTTGATTGTCATAATTTGGGTTGTATGTTTAATATAGATGGGAACCCACTCATTAGCATGACTAAAGAAAATGATTTTGACAAAGTGCTGGATAAGTACTCAACCCATTTAAGGAATGCTCGTTGCTAGTAGTAAAACTAATATAATTTTATGGTGTACTTATAGACATACTGATTATAACTAAGAAAAGTCTTTCTCTATATAAATCATTAGTTAGACCTCACTTGAAAAACCGTGTTAAAGTTTTGGCTTCCTTATAAAAAAAAAGGAAATGGACTTTTTGAAATGGGTTCAGAGGAGAACTATTAGGATGATTCTGGGGAAGAAAGGGTTATCTCACATGGATAGGTTTAGATCTAACTAATTTTTCCTGAGAAAAGAAGGATAAGAAGTGACCTTATTGAAGTTTACAAGATTATCCAGGAGGCTGATGGGATAAATGTTTCTGAATTCTTTATGCTGTACAACAGGATGATAGGGCACAAGTTTAAGATTTGGAGAAGACAGGTTAAGCTCCAGTTAAAACAGTTTTATTTTTCTAACACAGGCATTCGGCTTATGGAATGAGTGGGAGCCAGCACTTTATAAAAGTTTAAGAGGAGGGGGGGGATCAAAAATGTCCTGAAATATAAAGAGTAGGTTTAATATTTACTTTCCTCAAGAGTATAGCTGTACAAGGACAGCCTAGAAGTACCAAATGGTCCTTTTCTGTTTACAAGTTATGTTTCTGTACTTTACAACCAGATGACTGATCACTTAAGAAGTTTCAATTTAATTATTCCGAGACACAATTTCTCTCTCTCTCTCTTAGGTTTTCAGATTTTTTTCTCTTGCAACTCATTCAGATATGAACTTTAAAATATTAGGCTTCACAAACAAGACTTTATGATTAGGTAAACAAGGGCATACTTGTGGAGGTGCTCTAATTTTCCCAAATTTTATCTACTTTCAAAGCTCTTTGATAACCTGTTAAGTGAAGAACAGGTTATCAAAGAGAAATAAATGAAAACCTACTCTCATATCATTCTCAAATTACCAAGCTACTACATGTATATGTACAGTCCAAAAATTCCAATACTGTAAGGACACAACCATTAAAACTAACAATTTAATGATAAAATCCTGCAAATCTAAAGTATTCTAACTAAAACTGTATCTTAACATATCAAAAATGGTGATATACTTTTCAAAATTCATAATTGAAAATACAGCCTATATTTTGGGCTTAATGGGCTCCATTAAACTTGTATAATGTACCAGGATGTTAAAAAAGCCTGTCCACAATAGAGCTTTATCCTAGAACTTTTGGCTCACACTTGTGGTCTGAAACTAATGCTCTCATCAAGTGAACTACCAACGTTTCAGTCTCAAGTAGAGAACTCTCCATCCTGACCCTTACATAAGTCCCTCTCCATCACCTTAACAGTTCCATTATAGTTTATACTATAGAGTATCTAGCAACAACTTGTAAAAAGTTAAGAGGTCAAAGAAGATTCTAATCTTTTTAAACATTACTTAACTATTACTCTGTCAAAAAAGCATTATTGCAAAAGGCAAAGGTTTTTTAATTTTTGGTAGAATATTTCAAAATATATACATTGTAATTCTATTACAAGCCTACAACTGCCTCATCTTTTCTTCTGCAATCAAATGTAATTTCACCAGTATTATTATAACACATTTTTGCTGCCATATTAGATGCTCTTTTCAGGTGTAGAACTTATAATGATTTATTGTGCTACTATGTGAAATTAAGGAATTTAAGATACCATTATCAAGACTTTATCAGTTTATGATCAGAAGTTTATTATTTCATGGCCACTGCTACTATACAGATTATATAGCCAAAACAGATACACAAGATTTTAAACAAAATTACACAAATATATATATTAAATTAATTAATTAATAACCCACCACCAATAAAACTATACAGTAGCAATCTATGCAAAATTCACTGTATCATGAAACTTTGCCCCACATCTTCATGTAATTGTGTGTGTAGATTTGTTTTAATCTGAAAATGTAACTAAAATTTTCTGACATATTTATGAAGGATGATATTCCTTTCAAAGTCCTACAAAGCTGTTGTTAATATAATAGCATATACAGTAATAATGTTACAATTTTAATAAATATATACTATAATTTGGTATACATGTATCATAGTCGTGTCATCATAATCATATGTTTCATCACATTTTCATATTCAAAACGTTAAATATCCCAAAATACTTATATCAAATAACTTAGGGTAAGCTGCGTTTCTGTTTTACTACAAATCGTTTGAATTAAAAAAAAAATGTTTTGGTAACAGTAAGCCACAGCTGCGCTTTTGAAAATATGTGGATTTTTGTTTGTGTCTTCGAGAATTTCAAGTATCTGACGTGGCCGGCGCTACACATGTCGGCAGGCCCGGTATAATCGGACATGTTCGACGGTTTGCAACCTTAACCAGCGAAGATCTAACGTCCGATAAACTTTGCTATACACAGCATATGGGCCCCTACGTCATCCCCTGTTATTATTTTTTTCTTGCCACGTAAACCCATTAACTCACATGATTTATACAACACATGCACCCACCATGATGTGATCTTTTGGTAGACCCGATATCTAATTCACTGTCCAACGTCCGTTTTCTTGAATCTCCAATATCAATCTCGGGACAACCATTCACGTCCCCTACGTTTGTCGCCATCTTCAGTGCAGACCTCGGCCAGCTGACGTCAAATATGACGTAATTTCATTGGATAGCTTGGCTGAATGAAACCATCATTTAACAGAACTAATAGAAAACATAAATGTTAGTATACATTTCTTATAATACTGTATACTACGGTAATATTCTAGATAATTTAATCTTCAATGGCAAATATCTGTTTACCTAATTCGCTCACAGGCCTCCTCCCTCGAAGCATTGGGAACCGGTAGTGACGGTTTTTTTCGCACTCTAGGTCATTTCCTGCATACGTTGACACGTATTTGCCCAATACCAATACTATATTTTGATAATGCGAAAGATTTTGTGATGTTAAGTTGATAAGTAACTCAACTCAACTTTCCTCAAAATCAAATAATCTTTTCTTATTATTCCCCACTAAGAAATTCACAATGTGACAAAATGATTGTTACATTCTGAGTTCAAAAGGAAACTGTCCATACCTCAACCACGTGTCTGAAATAGCTGAATCATGTGAACGCATGTGCAAAAAATTATGTAATAGAAGTTACAGTTCGTCACGTAAACGGGTGTGTGTTAGATTTTCAAAGCTGATATTTTCTGCAATGCCAATAAATTCACCTTTAAAATGTTAATTTAAATTATGATAATTATATCAAAAACAAAATAAAAGAGGATATGTAAAAGCTAGTATAATCACCGAATACAGTGGTACCCATCCGCCCCTAAGTCCTGGAAAAGTCCCCTTACTTTTAGCGTTTCCCCCCAAAGCTACAGCTAGAGATTAATCGCCTAGAGACATATATTTAGCGAATCATTGGGGGTATGAAAGGTGGCAAAAGAAAGAAAAAATCTTCATTTTTCTCTCAAATAAATTTTCTTATGAAAATGAAAAAACAAGAACAAAAACTGTCCCCCCTATTGCAGTCCACTTCCTCACTCATGGGTCCACTGACGGAAAATGGATTTAGACTTGATTCATAACATGTGGATTTAACTGGCGAACTCTTTACATTGCACTTCATATACATTATCCTATAAAAGTTTAAAGATAAATAAAAACTGGGTATATTTTGTAATGACGGATCAATATCTTTCTCCATACATATATATTTATGGCGTTACTAATTCAACGAGGCCGTCTTTCGTCACAAGTCTTGCGACTAAACTCTTAAAAGTACAAACAACCTAGAAATTAATGTTTCGTTTGTCTTCGTACATGAAATATTTTGATGTCACATACTTTACAACATGATATTATATCTTGTTTTTTATGCTTCCATGCAGTTTATCAATGTATGATTGTGTGACATTGTTCAAGTGTCCTCCATTACCCCCTAAAATTAAGCTAAGCTGTTTTGTCGTCTTTTGAACTTCTCAGTTTTCACATAAGCCCAAACAACCTCATAAATGTTTACATTGATTGTGAGCGTTCCATCGACCTCTTCCCTTAAGATTTCGTTTCGCCGCTTCATCTGCTGTAAGTTTGGGATCATTGTCTCGCTAGAAGATGCATCCCCGCCCGATAGATCATGTTCCTGAGGGAATGCTAAGATGAGGCATAACTTACAAGTATTTGTTAATAGTCAGGGTGCCACCAATTTTGTGTAAAACCGACACCACTGATTGAGATGCAACCCCAAACTTGTCCTGGTTCCCTGCCATGCTTTACTGTAGGTGTTGTACATTGACTATAAAACCATTTTTCTCCTACTGTCGAACAAACTGTCGTTTGTTGTTGTCAAACTATTTGAACTTGGATTCATTTGTAAGAAGTATATGTCTCCATCTTTGCTCATTGTTTGGCTACCTCTTCTAAGGTGCGGTTTGTGAGAAGATATCAATCCACTGAGACACTCTGTGCTAAAGTGTATCTTAATTGTTATCGAGGTAACAACTACTCTTGTACTTACAGCAGGGCAGTTAGCAAGATCTGTACTCGACTGTTCTCTGTCTCGTTAAGAACATAGTGTTGCGTCATCGAGTCACATGACTACTGTGACGCAACGTTTCTAGAACTATCTGTACTCGACTGTTCTCTGTCACATATCTTAGATGCTTAACGTCACATTTTGAGACTTTCGGTTTTCTTCTTTGACCACTTCTAATATTAACAGTGTCAGGTTCATACACCTTTTTCTAAGTGTTGTCTACAAGTCTTACTGAAGCACGGAGTCTTACCACAAATTTTCGTATGGAGTATCCTCCTTGACAAGTCAAAACTTTGATTTGTATCTGCTTATCATGTGGTATTTCAGTCTAGGGAACGTGGCTAGAAGTACACTACTACTACTGGGGATAGTATGACCATTTGTCCTTTTACAGGTGTGACACTTTCTCATTGGTTGGATGTCAATCAGTGTGAGCTATCAACACGTGACTACACTTTGATACAGCTTATTTTCACACGATAAAAGGCTGACATTTCCATAGTAATAGCCTTTTATACTATTTTCTCTCAAAATTTCCATAATTATTTCCAATAATGACTATTAATTTTTAATATTTCTTTTTCGTGCTCTTTTTTTGTTAGAACTGGCCCTTACGATATATTTGAAGGGATATATTAGTGTTCTGTATTATTTTTACATGATCTTTTCAAAGTTTGAATTTTTAAATATACATGTATACAAGATATTTTAACGTAAGAATAGTGTTGAGAAAGTGTAGAGCCTAGAGCATCAACCCACCTTAAATGCACGACGCATATTCTACATGATGAAAGTCATGGCAGTAATAAAGTGGTCAAAGGTGGAGAGAATATGCGTATTTAGATGGAATTTTTTTATAACTGGTATTTACGAACAAGGCCCGGCATGGCCAGGTGGTTAGGGCGATCGACTCGCAATCTTGGGTTCGAATCCCTGTCACACCAAACATGCTCGCCCTTTCAGCCGTGGGGGTGTTATAATGTGACGGTCAATCCCACTATTCGTTGGTAAAAGAGTAGCCAAGAGGTGGGTGGTGATGACTAGCTGCCTTCCCTCTAGTCTTACACTGCTAAATTAGGGACGGCTAGCGCAGATAGACTTCGTGTAGCTTTGCGCGAAATTCAGAACAAACAAACAATTTACGAACATTTATACTTATTTCGTGATGTAAGGAATTATTAGATGCACTTCTTTTACTAATATTAAAGCTTTGAGACAAGAGGGAAAATTCAATACACGCGACGGCCACAGTGCAGATAGCCCATTGTCAAGCTTTGCACTAAAACAAAAAACTGAGACTAGACTGTAGTTCTGGCGCTATAGAGGTAGGGGGCACCCACTTATAGCGTTTGGCAGCTTTTTGAAAATTTAACCGATACCAGTTAACTTCTATTGACTGCTATCGCACTTCATCATACATTATTATTATATAGATTTAATTGTGTTTTGTCTTACTTTTAGATTTTATTTTTCATATATAATAATAAAAAAAAATCTGAAACTTGGAGGTACAGGATCTAAACTGGGTGAACAAGGTTCCCTAAGCCCCACCCCCTTTTAAGGCGCCGTACCTGTACAACAGTCACTGGCTAAATTCAGATATGATTGGTATCAACACAGTTATTTAAGCCTCTCTGGTTTTAGTTTATATTTTTTGAATATGAAATAGGAAATACCACCACAATATTTTGTTCTGCACCATATGAAACACTTTTTTCTTTACTCATACTAATACCAATCGCTATGAAATATTTCAAGTATAACTTAGTGACATAATATGAGTACGTACATATGAAATTAATACCTTACAACAAATATATAATTTTGATATTATTTGTTAGTAAGCAATTGAGAAAACATTATTATAGTCAAATATGACTACGTTAATATTGCAATTAGCTATCAACAATATATTGCCCCTCAGTGGCTCAGCTGTAAGTCTGAAGGCTTATAAACCTAAAAACTGGGTTTTGATACCCATGGTGGGCACAGCACAGATAATCCATTGTGTAACTACGCGCTTAACAAAAAACAAACAACCAAGGTATTTTGAACATATTGTTTTCACATCTACGTCACTGTCATTAATTACAAGAAAATTCACACGAAATGTGCTTTAGCGATGGATTTAATATCATATTCTAACAATGCTTTAACTTGTCAAAGTATAATAAACAAAACAATGAGTCATATTGTAATATACTTGTTTTTAGACCTGGCTCGAGTTAGAATTGCCAAACTAACTAGTCAAACGTTTGTCGTCTTAACAACAATTAAGAAATTAAACAATTTACATGAAAGGTACACATAATCTGCGTGCGTAACATTTACAAGCTTGAACGACATGGCCACAAAAGAATGAGTAGGAAATTGTCCATGATCTATTTTCTCTTGAACAACTAACAATTATAACAACAACAAAAAGACATTCCAGTTTTACTTGAGAATATTGTTTAAAACATAATATCCACGAGTAGAAATATTTCTACTTATGAAAAATCCCTGTATGGAAAAACCAGTATACCTCTAAACCGAATACTAATTGAAAGCAAAACATCACACAAAAAAAAGCATCCATTCTCATTACATTTCTTCCCACTCCAAACCCCAGTATTCTATGTATAGGAAGTTAACAAAAATTACAATCATTTCATAAAATGATTTAATGTGGGACGCAATTAATATGCTAAAAATTATGAAAAATAGACAAAGAAAAATTTATTTCTTAGCAACTCAACATTACTATACAGTGTAGGCAAGATTTGTACAGTTATTTTATCGAAATTCGATATAATGTCGTAGGCCTAGCATCAATCAATATTTTGTTTATAATAATAATGATCGTGGGTATTATCAACTTAAACAAATGTAGCTGGGATTTTATTTTCTTCAGGTTAAAATGATACAAAATATTGACTGTTTTAAAGTTTTTAGTGTTGAATATTTACTAGTTAAGGTAACTGTATTAGAGTGATGTGTTGTGTTTGTATGAATGACGTGTTTCTAACACACATAGTACACTGAATATATAATTTTTGTAGTACATATTGGTGTATGGAAGATATTTCAATATTAGAAATAAACAACTTTATAATACCAAATTTTGAAGCTTTGTACTGTCAGTTTCGGTTTGTGTTTTAATGAAGAAGCTGTAAAGTGAAACGTTGTGTTTAATTAAATAAAAACAACAATTTGGTGTTATAAGGTCTTTTATTTCTAGTATTACAGTACACCGAAGCCCAGGTATTCAGTTTCATAATATTTAGCTCAAGTG